ATATATATATATATATATATATACACAACAAAGATTACAGTGCAACAATGAAATATGCCACAGCAAAAATATGTGATTGTGTTTAGTTCAGTGCCCTGATTACAATGGCTGACCATTGTTCCCTATCACCTAAACTTTCTTCTGGAACAGCAATTTTATCTACTCTTGGTTATGTTATTTTTGTTGCCGCGGCACTTATCACATTGTGTTATAGGACTATTGCCTAGTGGTGGGAGAAGATAGGGAGCCACTTGGGGTAGGTAGAGGGAAGTTGCAGTTGTATTAGTTGATCGATAGTGAGATCACACAGTATTTCTTCTTGACGTGTGTAAATCTGTTAACGCGAATATTGTTTGCGCGTGTTCATGTGCTTCATATACTCAGCGATGTCTAGGAAGTGCAACGGGTGAAGTGCGCAGGTGAAGAAAAACCTTGCATAGTTAAGGATGTACTCGTCAGTACTCGTGTTGCCTTTTTAATGTTATCGGCGTTGACTGGCAATCTGCCATCGTAAACAAAATTTAAGTAATCACTTTCTTTTTCTAAGTTCCCTGACCTTGACGATTCCTCTGCGGCACCGTTAAGCCTTTATCTTCGAGATAATGGAACTAGTAGTTGAAACCACTGAGAAACAACGCCCACCCCTGCAGTGCACCATAAGTATGACGGCACATAGTTGTCGGAATTGCGCTTCACAATTTTGACCTTGGGGAATAAATATACAGCTAATACTTGTATATTATGAGAAAACCATAGTGTGAAGAAATTGTTTGTCATACCAATGCGGAGTCTCAAACAGTCCGCCATATTGAATTCAAAGTGTTATACATGCCCTTTTGGATTATGAGTTCAAAGCTCATTTTGGGGTCAAATGGTAGAAAAATCTTTATTTATTTCTGATTATGACCACGCCATACCGTTGCGGCGTTTCTAAGTAGTCGCCATACTGATTCGAAGACGTCCAATTTGTCACTAGGTCATGTATCATTGTACACACAAGAGAAAAATATTTGTGCATTGATTTTAATGTACAAAACGAGTCTATTAGTGCCATACCGATTGGATGTCTCAAACGCGAGAAATTCACCTATATAGTTGTAAAATATTTACTAGGGTGTGCATATTTTAAGTTTTTGCGCCATCTTTAATGTTTGCAACACAAATAAATGTGACAAGTTTTAAATTTCTATTTTGTCTTCATTTTCCCGTCTGACTATAATATATGGAATAGTTTTATCAATGAATAATTAAAACTGACTCAATAGGTCATTAATATAAATACTTTCTATTAAATGTTCCATTATGGTTATTTATTTTTAAGGTTGCCAATCACTGAAACGTTAAGTTAAGCATCTAAACACCTAGTATCTATGTTGTCGAAACAAATGTTACTTCAACAGATTTATGTCAGGAGGCTTCTTGAAATCAAATTATGCAATGGATCAGCTTTAATTCTCATGCGCGATTAGCAATGAGATCACTTCTGAATTTATTTATTTCAGACCAAAATAATCTAAATAAATAAAACAAAGTCGGGTTAGTTGCACCATTTATAACTCAAGAACGGCAGGAACAAAATTAAATATTCATATCAAATGCAAGCTGCAAAACATGGTAGGATTTGTGACTATATCGTTAAATAACTCCTAAACTGAAGTTCAAGAACATTAAAAACCAAACTTTTGAGGCCAAAGGCCTCGAAGAAATGTTTCTCACCCCGTAATCCAGAGGACGAGATCTTTTTGAACGTACTGTTACATTTTTGCTGGTCTGGCGCTTCTCGATATTACCCCACCTGTTCAGAGATATCCAGAATCTCATGTGTGTGAGAGGGACAGAGTCAGAGAAGGAGAGAGGGAGAGGGAGGGAGAGATGGTGAGAGTGACGCAGAGGGAAGGAGAAAGATGAAGGGCGGAACTAGTCTAAATAAATGAAACAAAGTCGGGTTAGTTATACCATTTATAGCTCAAAAACGGCTTATAACTGACATTAGTTGACTTATTTTATTTATCTCTGATTTGTTGTATTCATCTCCTCCTCAAGGAGCAGAATGACTATTAAAATATCATAAAAAATCACGAAAAAAAGAACAAAGAATAAAACTAAATATTCTTGTCAAATGCGACCTGCAACACTTCGCAGGGTATTTACTCTATATCATAAAATATCTCCTAAACGAAGCGTATTAGGACATTAAAAACTACAATTTTGAGGTCAAAGCTCTCAGAGAAACGTTTCGCACACAGTAATCTACAGGATGAGATCTTGAACGTTCTATTACATTTTTGCTGGTCCGGCGCTTCTCGATATTACCCCTCCTGTTTAGAAACGTTCATAATATATATATATATATATATATATATATATATATATATATATATATATATATATATATGAGAGAGAGAGACAGACAGAGATACAGAGAGAGACACACACACACAGAGTGAGAGAGAGAGAGACAAAGAGAGAGGGGGAGGCGGAGAGAGACAGGGAGAGGAAAGGAGAAAGACCAAGATGAAGGACAGAACGTCAGCCGGGTTCCGCTAGAATTTAATATATTTAAATAAGAATTCAACTTTTTAGATATTAATTACGAATTAGTAGACAAACATTATTTCTACTGTTGGTGCCCAAGACCAGCTCTTGACCAAGCAGAGAATCACAGATGACGAGAAAGAAAGATATATCACTGACGTGTGCTGCGCTCTCGTGCACAAACGAGTAACTTACTTATAATCCTCTTTTCGCAGTCGTATGCTAGCTTAAGACCGTATGTACCTCCTTTGTGGTAAGACACTCGGGAATCTCTTAGGTGTGAAGAAGGGAGAGGGGAACCGCAACGTCTGCGCCCTCAACGCAATCTCGCGGCGGGCGCTAGAAGCATTTTTGCGTTTAGGCAGAGGCCAGCTT